TGAAAGGCGTTCACATCAGGCAGATTCCGCTTGTTCTGTACTTCCAAAGCACTGAGGTCCTGTTCCACCACCTGGACTTCTAAGTGCAAATAATAAATAGGGTCAGGTTATTTTTACAGTGCTTGTTTAGACTGGCTGTTCCATTCCTGGCAATCTCTGAGCTCGTCCTGCGGTTGTGTTTTCTGCCTGGCACCAAGGAGAAGCTGTAGCTGGTTCAGCCTGCAGCTGCGCTTTTGCTGCCCAGTGTGATGAACGAGTGCCGTTGTGCCCATCTCCAGGGGAATACACTGCGTTCTTATTTGCTGCTGGCTACCATTCAAGAGGCTGACTGCTAGCTATGTCAGTTCTGTGCGCTGTCACTGGAAAGATACCCTCCTTTCCCTATACTTGAGAATAAAACACAAACCTAAAGAGGCTTGAAGGTTCGGGAGCAGAAGGTGGGAAACTTTTGTGGAAGCCCTTGTCCTTGGAACTGCCTGTTTTGATGACCATGGTAGAGCCATGGTCTTATGCTGTCCTTCATGGTATGCAGTGGAAGGTTACTTTTTGTTCAGCCCCAACAGTTCATTATTGATTGACTTACTGAACAGAGATATAGTTTAAAATTGCAGGTGTTAATGTAATTTTTAAACAATATCTAGAAGCTTTATGGCTAGCTGTGTTGTCATGCTATTTTTTACTTTGCAAGCATAGGTGTCTTGTCCATAGGTGCATAATTATTTCTTCTCAGAGCTGTCGTAGAAAAATGCCATGCTTTGCAGGTATTATTTTCAGTGAAAGACCATGGCTACAAATGGATATGTGCAACTTCATTAAAGCTCAATAAATTGAATAGACTAAATTATGAAAGCCCAGCAATTAAATGTTACACTGATAACTCATTCAGATATTTTCATTTACTCAATGACTTGTGGGACAGTAAAGTTTGCTGCACTCTGATTTTGAACTATAGTCATTTGTTACTGTATCATAATATTGATTAGCATGGAGGCCTAGCTTCATCATGTCAGACTTCAGCCTGTGATTGACAGAAAGACATTACTTGGTAGGGAATTAATCTCAGTTGTCATCTACATTGTTTTCCAACAGTCCTTGTAGCTCCATGTTGACCACACAGGTAACTTTAGGTACTGCTAAGATTGAGAGGTGGATAATGACTCTTGTTTTGTTATATAATTTGTGTTTTGTTCTTAAATTAGATCAGATTCTGACACCACTGGACAACTATATGATCTAAAGTTCCACTATTACGATGTAGGGCTACAAAGCTGTTTCAGCAACAGTGGTGGGGACCCCAAAACCGAGAACTCATCCATGACAAGACTTTTTGATTGCAAGAGTTTGAACCCACAACATGTGTGTTGTGATACTTACTAATGCTACAGCAACCAGGAGAATTAAAACATCCCCAAATATGACTCACATCAAGCAAAGCTTGATGGCAAGCTGGCAAAAATATCCAAGTGAAAATTCTTCTCAGCAAGGTGCAATTTAATACATCCTTCACTTCTCTAGCACCCAGGAAACTGCATCAGATTGCAGTTTACAGCCAAAACCTACTCCTGGGGTTTTGGAAATTGGCAGTCGGTATATACTTTGTTTTTCAAATGATTCTTTGACAGGAGAAAATCACCTTTTATATAAGACTACAGGTTAAATCTTGGCACTGACCTTGGAAGAGAAATCCTGAGCACAAGTTCTTGTTTTCAAGTCATGTCTAGTTTTGCAATTTGTTCATTCACTTCCTAATACAAAATGTAAAGACTGTCCTGGAATCAAAACCCAAAAAGTCATTCTTGCAGGGAAGGTCTGAATGATTCATGTCAGCCTGATGCGGATTTCGATTCCTTCAGGTTGGATACAGATAGGCAAGTAGCCTGGGGGAATGCCCTCACCATTGAGTTTCTCTTATAAAATGCCCTTGTACTGCCTTTCTCTCCAGCAATGGACTTGAATAAAGTAATCTGTGGATTATTTTTTTTTAAAGTCGATGCTGTTAGCACATTAATAATTTTCTGAGCGTTCTTACTGGGTTGAGCCTTAGGTATACAGCTCTAGATTTGGCCTATGCACATGCAGAAACAGTATTTTAGGTGTCATGGCTGCTTTACTGGAGAAAATATAGATGCTTACAGCTTTTCAGCCATCTGAGATGGTGTCTGAGGCAAGGCTTTAGATATTACTCTTAACTTAGAAATACTCAGTTTCCACCTGAGCCCCAGAGAAGGTGTCCATTTCAGAAGTCTCATTCTGAGCAATTCTATCCTCAGAGGAACTGATGGTTGCAGTTCAGCATAGTCATTGTCAGATGCCTGATTTTCATTCATTAATACTCTGCACTGGTGGAAGTATTAGCCTGCTCTAATGTAACATGTATTTAAGTGACTTTTTGACTGAGAGTTTATCCCAGGCAAAATTGCACCCCAATATACTGGGTGAATGTAAAGCTACCCAAAGCTGTTGCGCTACCCATACATCTAGAGGATAGCTGCTGTACTTTTGGGCAGAATACAGTATTCAGGTTTGGCTCTTCCTTGTATGCCAAGAAAAAAAAAAAAAAAATAGCAGACTATTACCATGCTTTTCATTACTAAGAAATAGTAATGATGCCAGTTTGTCCAGTCTATCAGTCTGCATCCAGGAGTAGCCAAGTAATTGTGTTGGCATCATCCATTTTTTTTACTTGGTAAAGTAAATATCTCACTGTCAGAATCACTACTATACGTGCCAAAGAAATGAGAGAGGGAAGAGCCAGGTTTGATTCAGAGGTGGGATATGATTTGAAGGAATCTCGTTTCAGTGTCCTAATGGATATTGTTTGTGAAAACACACACAGCATTTACAGGCAGCCAACCATCTCTAGTACGGAGGAGCATGGAAAGACAAGCAGCTTTTGTTTATAGCAAAAAGTGAGTATTGGCTAAGAAGTAGTGTTTATGGTAATCGAGCTTTACAAGGAAGTAAAACTTAGTGGGGAACACAGGGGGTAGCATTTGCAGTGAAGCAGGTAATGAGGAGAGCTGTGTAGGCATTTCCTGATTAGCATCTGCTGTTTCAACAGCGGAGGAACATGACTCACATGTAAATGATTGTGCTAGGCTTTAACAGGCATTCCCTCTAGCATGCCACCCTGCCTTCTGGTTTTATTTTGAGTCTCCTTTGAGCCCTACTGTGATTTGAAATCGGTGGAGGAGAAAGGAGAGTAACACAAACAACAGATGTCTTAAAGTCTTGGAGCAGAGGGAGCAAAGGCCTTGTGGCAAAGGAGGAGGTGCAGTTTGTCATTAGCTTTTGGAGCCTCTAGTACAGACTGCATTCACATTTCTGCATGTGTGTATATGCACAGTTGTGCACATAGGTGGTAAAGAAGTGGCAGTGCAAAAAAATGGCCACTGCGCACATCGGAGAATAGTTTTTGCATCCTGTAAATGTGTGTGACCTATAGACACTAAGCGTACTTGCTCACACAGACAAAGCAACCTGTTCTAGGGAAGGTTCACTAATTATTTCCCAGCTGCTGCAGTAACTGATTTTAGTCTGTTGCTGGATAAAATACACTAATTCTCTTTTATTTGAGATAAGAGTTGCTCCATAATTGAGAAAGCAAATAGTATGCCTGGTGTCCATCAAGACAGCTTTGCTCACAGGTGGTAACTTAAGCCATGGCAATACAAATACTGTGTATCCCATAATGTTAGGAAAACTTGGTTGTGCACTAAGTGACATGTAGTGCAGAATCAGAAAAGCACTTCATCTGTGTTTTCTGGTATGGGGAGCAGTGTCTTTAAGGGCTTTGATTTCCAGCAAGGAAATCTGTGACAGAAACAGCTGTGAAATTCATACAATATATAAGCATCTGGGGATGGCATAGAGACCCTGAAAGCACATTACCTGCTGAGTGTTGAATCAGTACTGCATGGAGCCAGGAGCAAAAAGAAATGGAAAGAAAAAGAAAAACAAAAAAACAAAACAAAACCATAAAATACTGTGAATGGAGAAGTGAAAATATATGACATTTCCAGGTTTTTACTTCTTGGGAAAGACAACTGAAAGAAAGATGAATAAAAAAAAATAGGACTCAGGGTGGAGAACTTTGTGCTCAGAAAGCTTAGCAAGCCACCTCCCACCTTCCCACATCTACTTCCTCCTTTTATGAAGGGACTCTTTTCCACAGGTTTCAGCAGATGGGTCCAAAGACTGAAAATCACATTCACATAGAATCCTATTTTTTTATGATATTTTAAATGTGATTTTATTTGCTTGCTAACTTGCTGGGTTTTTTCCCAAAGGATTTTGGTAAACTCTGTCTCAATATATGTTTGTACTGTTTATTTTGTTACTGTTAATTGTTATTATTTTTAATTAAATTAATTTGGCTACTGGGCTCCAGAAGTTTGTGCTTAGGTTAACCTTAGTAAAGGGTTTAGGTCTTATTATTGAGTGTGACTTCTGGAAGCATTACTGGTATTGGGATGAACACCAAGGGTGTCAATAGGAATTACATTTCCTTGTAGAGAAATTTGTGTTTTCGTGGGGTGTTTAAGGCTGTGTCTACTCTAGGAAATTATATATATTTTAACATATTGGCAGCAGCAATTTTTAAGCATCAAATAGTTAATAGTTAGTATGGTAAAACTGAACAACTGTTTTCTCATTAATGTTGTTTTAGCATAGACTTCATTATTCTTTACAAGAATATCCTATCAGAAAAATAAGCACAATAATGATTATTCTGTATTTTAAATAGTGTTTATATGCCTGTGTCACTTCCTCTGCACTTTGAAAAAACACTATCCCTGTTGCACAGATGGGAAAACAGAGGCATCCATGGGAGGTGTGACAGCTTCACCTGGAAGTCTTCTAGTGAAAGACATATCTGGTCTCAAAGCAGAACCCTATTATAAGTCATATATTAAATTTACCAAGAGGTTATTTGTAAGTTAAAAAAACAGAGGCCTCACTTTAGAGATATCATTTAACATTTACTTTTCCTCCCACAGGAACTTTTTACACCAGAATGCAAATTCAAGGAGTCTGTTTTTGAAAATTATTATGTAATCTACTCATCCATGCTCTACAGACAACAGGAGTCCGGGAGAGCCTGGTTCTTGGGGCTGAACAAAGAAGGGCAGGTCATGAAAGGAAACAGAGTGAAGAAAACAAAACCAGCAGCTCATTTTCTACCCAAGCCATTGGAAGGTGAGACTCAGTCCATTGCTGGCAGATCCTCCTATAAATCTTGCAAAAAGAAGGAACAGTTTCTAAAATACCCTTTGTGAATGTGCATGCCCCACACAGGGGCCATTCCAAATGACAGTCCCCAGGATTCATGAGTGGTTTTGTGCTTCAGCATAGTGATGCTAGAAAGGGCACATGTAAAAACAATTTTTCCAGGGATTAAGAGGTCATTTTGCAAGAAAATAAATCTTTTGTGGAAGTGTATTGCACTGTTTTTAAGATATTCTCTTGGTAGGAACAAAAGCTGTTGTGAGTCTTGCAGTGAGAAAATAGTCCTTTCATTAAGCAGAATGAAATAATGGACATTGTAGGATAATTGGGAGTTATAAAGGCAATGGATGAAATGTCAGCATTTCAAAGTAAAAGCTTGCTAATCCAAAACACAAAGGTCTCTTTATAAAATAAATCATACTGTATTACTTAGCCAGTTGATGTAATGCACGTAACTTATGTAAGTTGGCCATAAACCAAGATAGAAGCAAATAAAAGTAATACTAACCGTACGCATTAAAATGATGTCACACATTCTCTGAAAAGTATATTCATTTATATGTTGGAACTTTTGGATTATCCTACATATTCTGCAGGACTTTATAAACGTATGCTGCTTTTTGCTTCTTGTCCTGATGGTGCTCCAAATTTCATTTATATTATTCCTACACATAGCCTCAGTCATTCTGGAAATTATCTCATTACTTAACATCTGAAAACACATACCTGACTAATGCTTTAGTTAGAAGACTCATTTATTTTAATATTTTAACTTCAAATTTTTGATTAAAGGATCAGCTTGTTAAATGTTTTAGTTTCATCATAGGGAAAAAATCTGAATAATCCTATGTTTTAACTTCACTTCATCCACTTTGTGGCTGCCCCCTCCCTGGCAGGGTTCAAGGCCAGGTTGGATGGGGCTTTGAGCAACCTGGTCTAGCGGGAGGTGTCCCTGCCCATGGCAGCAGGGTTGAAACTAGGTGATCTTTAATGACCCTTCCAACCCAAACCATTCGGTGATTCATATTTGAACTCGAGTTGATGCCTTCGTGCTCTCCTCATCTTGCAAAAGCTCACAGTATTTTCATGAGCTCTCAACAATATTGACACTTTACATGTCAATCCCTTTATATTAAATTAGAAGAATTGTAGGGAGGGAAAGCCAGTGCATCTTTAAAAGCACCATCAATTTATATGGATTAGGAAAGAAGTTACTTTTTTCATTAATGTTTGGATGGTCAGACTCTATCAAAATAGCTTAGACAAGGCTTAGAAATAACTTGCTTTACATTGCCCATGAGAGTCATCAAATATGACAGCCCTGCTATATAATTCCTTACTTTATAGTTCCATCTCATGTTATTCGACTTAATATTTTTGTAGGTCATGGTGCTATTTCATCAAGCTATTTTAATTAATCAGCGAAGTGTCCTAAACACAGTTATGGGGGTACTCTGAAGACAGATCATAACTAGCCTTATGTACTCTAGAGAAGACATTTAATTTCAGACTTTCAGAGGCCATAAAAGGATTTAGATTATGTCACTGGAAATGTTAGAACAAGTATTTGATTAGTTAATGGTGCTATGGGGCCCTTCATATTTATTACTAAACTTTACACCATTGAAGATCAAGGTCAGTACTTTGATGCTCCTGCCTCCTACTCTAATTAGCCAAGGGATGAAGGGATTGTGCTCTCAATGGCAGCACACAGCCAGTCCTGAAATCAGTGTGACAATTAATTCCTTTGACTGTTTTGACATCTCTTTCAGTGTTGGTCTGATATAAATAAATGCTACTGAAGTTAGGTGTAAGTGGAAATATTACCTGATTCAGTGACATGGAAAATGAAATTGAATTATCCAGGAGCATTAATCATTAAGGCAGATTAATGCTGGAACTGTGTAATTGAACTCATGTATTTTCCTCAAAGGATTTAAAGTGGTTAGATAGGGACTGAAGTGCAGGGGCAATTTTTTAATTCCTTTAAGAAGTCAGTTAATAGTTTAATTTGGAGTTTACTGCACTTCTACATTCAGTGGAGATCAGTGGTTACTACGTGTATTTTTGGAAAGGAGGAATAAAGAAACTCAAATCTCGTGTACTCTCTGCAGCTCTATCCTGGACATTTCTTCAGTACATACTTGAAGAGACCATGGCCAAGCTCCTCAGATGTGGGAGACAGATGTACAAATAACTGTAGAACTGGACTCAAGCCTAGTCTTGCAACGTAGAACTAAAAATGAACACTTGAGTCTAGACAACTGTATCATATGATCCCATTTGTTAAACACCATCTGTCTTATCTCGTTTTATTTCTAAAAACTTGCAGAATATTTATTTAAGGGGTGTATATATATATACATATGTGTGTATATATATGTACATTTGTGTGTGTCTGCCTCATGCAAAGACAGAACAGTAGTTTTTAATTTCCAAGGCTTCTATAGTTTCCATTAAACAAGCAAGCATACGGTTTCCTACTGTGTTTTTAAGTCACATACAGAAGTGAGAGATTTGGAGGGTCAAGCAAAGCTATCCATCATGCAAGACAAGTGTCTGTCAAAGCAAAGAGTTTTCCTCATGTGCAAGAGGAACATGGATTATATTACAATATCAGTTACACTAGAAAATTAATCCTGTTTGAGATGAGCTCTTATATTAAACAGATACATCCTTAAAAATGTCTCTCCTTTTCTCTTTTCTCCCCTCAGTTGCCATGTATCGAGAGCCGTCTTTGCATGATATTGGAGAAACAGTGCCAAAGGCTGGGGTAACTCCAAGTAAAAGCACAAGTGCATCTGCAATAATGAATGGCGGCAAACCAGTTACCAAGAGTAAGACGACATAGCCAGATCCTCACAGGTGTTGTGACTTACTGAGTCCCGAGCACAGTTGAGCAATTTATCCTTGCCAGACTTCCCCTCTGCAGTGTCTGTGGATCAGCTTGCGTCAAGTCACAGGCTTGCCCGTTGCTGTTGCTGAACTGAGTTGTTGCAAGAGGATAAATCTCAACATGTAGCTCCACCCACAACAAGAAGACACCTGGATGAACCAGCTAAACTCAGACCATGGAATGCCCTACCAGATATTGGAATGCCTTTTTAATATCTTTTCTGTGACTGTGACACTTCATGTGAATGACATACTTCACAAGTACACTTGATACCTTGCCTGCTGACAATTGCCCATAATCTCTTTTTGAGTCCAGTTTCAGCAAAATCCATGTGTTTAAGTTCTATTTTGTAGCACACAAATAATCAAGTAATTTCTAGTTAGATGCTGTAAACCTGTGCTATTATGGATTTCTCTTCTTCCCTTTTTTATAAGGCTGCTCGCTCCACTGTCTGTGACTTTTTGCAGGGATTGTGTTTCTCTATAACTTAAGTGTTGCCGGTGGCTTAGTTCTGAAAGCAATCAGGGAATCAGGAAGCCTTCAAAAATCTATTATTACAAATTATATCTATAAAGAATAGGATTGTTGTCTCTGGCTTACAATATTGATTAAATGTGAATACTCCAGTAACAGATACTGTGCTTCTGAGGTTGGCATTATAGTGAAGGGAAGAGTGTCAAACACAACCAACAGGAAGTTTTCTGAAAGGAGTGTTTGGCATCCCCCTATAGTTTCTTTTTGTGTGTGTGTTTTATACATATCACAGGCTTACTGGTAATGGTAACATTTGCCTTGCCCAGCGAGCAAGACCCACTCATTTTTGGGAAAGTGGGTCCAAAGAATTTTGTAGGCCTTGTAGGCCTGAATTAAGGCTCATTTTTCATCTATTAAATCTTCATTGTTTGAAAAACAACCACCACCGATAAAAAAAATAAAAAATAAAATAAGACTAACCAGAATTGCGCTACCTAAATCCATTTCAAATATAATCCTTTCCTGTTTTTAAGGAACTTGAACTTAATGCCATTGTTACTTTTGGCTGAATCTCACACCTACTTAGCAAAGCATGGGCAAGGATGTTGTTGTGTTCTTTTTTGCAGCACCAATGCAAAGGGTAGTTACAAATCATAGTTTAATATTTCTGGTGTTTTAAAAAAAAAAAAAAAAAGAAAAGAAAAAAGTTTTAAAACTGGACATATTACAAAACTTTATTTTTATTTTTAGCAAAGCATGCAAAGTCCGGTCCTGTGTATCTCACTGATATCCCAGTACGTACCTCCACCCAGCTTTCTAGGATAATTTGCCCAACAAATTACTAGATTGAAGGTGCCTTGCCTTGATCTCTGTATACTGTACTTTCTCCTACATTAACCTAAAACAAATCAAAAACATCATAAAATTGAAGCCTTGGATCATATTACCAGAAAGAACATTGAAGCCCTTTGAGTTTGTCACTTGTGAACAATTAAGCCAGTGTTGAGGGCAGGGAGAAGGATTTAGAGAAGGCCACAGAGATGCCACTGAGGTGTTGCACACTTAGTCACAGGCTTTCAGAAGACTAAAAATATGGGTACTAGTCTCTATGCTTAATGAGGTATTTGTTTCTCAGAAAGGGCAACAAGGACCAAACTGTACCTCAGTCTGCAAAACTGTGTGGCAATGCTCTCTTGGCCTCTTGCATCTTGATATTTAAATACAAAAAAAAAAAGGAAATAATCTAATTCTTTTTTAGCATTGTATTTCTGGCAATTTGTTTTATCACATCTTTGTGCTGAAGTCCCTAACTGAGACCTCTGGTTATTTCAAACTCCCTGTCTGCTCAGATGAACAACTGATGCAGTCTGAATGAACTCTTCGTGCTAGTTTTCAAATATCTTCTGTTTTTATGAAGCGACATTTAGTGCACTCTTCAAGGAGACTACTGTAAAGCTGCTAAATTCTAGATGAACTTTTTTCGCAGGCCAGACTTCCTTGTTTATATCTGTAATAGGAGAACAGCAATCTAACACTTGATGATGGGTCTTTCTAAGGAGGGAATGAGTTAAGCATGAAGCCCACTATCTATGTAGAGGAAAAAAATACAAACTTACTCTAATACTGTGATAAAAACGCAAAGAAACTTTGACTTAGACTGTGCCCTTGCCTGCTAGCACTAACCATGTGTGTGTGGGCGGGAAACAACACTTTGATAAAAACTTCGGTGCACCCTTCTCATCCCATATGGCCCAGTGGGATTTGTGCGCCATCCCAGAGGAAACAAAAGAAAACCAAAGCAGCTCACATGGTGAGCTGGGGACTTGCTCTGCACCTGGAGGGCCCATGGGAGGCAGCAGCCTTGACGTTGTACTGTCTGCTGGGTCCCAGAGGAGGCCCCAGGCTCTCCTACAGTTACGAGAGGAGCACTTTACAATATTTTGAGTAAGATAATACAGCTGAAGGCTACATTCTCTTTCTCTCTCACCTGAATTTCATAAGAGTTCATGAGAAGGGAATACCTGTGTTTATGTCCCATCCAGCCGTCTTTTTAGTCTCCCGGTGTAAGAGCCTGGGGAGAGATGGGGCCAAAGACCTGGCTGAGCCATGCAAGGAGCTTCTGGTTCATGGTCTGATACTACAGTAGTATTGTTTTCAACATGAAACTTTTGATCCTGAATAATTATGATCTGTGAATCAGTTAGGGGGGAGGGAGGGGCTATAACTAAGGCCAGACTTAATTTTTGTAAGCAGTTAGTACATACTGGAAATACAGCATTTTTTTCTTACCATTTTCTGGTTTTGTTTCTATGAGCTAAATCCATATGTGTGTTTAATCCAATGAATAGATGCCCTAAAAAACATTTTTTCTACAATCTGTTTAAACATAGCAAAGGGGTCTCTGTGCTTTGCTTCCTCCCTTTAATTTTGTCTCTTGTCTCATCTGTTGCATGGGAAGAGGATGGAAAGGATGAACTGCATGTAGTGGGTTGTGTCTATCAGAGAACTGTTGGGCTGTATTATGAAATTTACGTGCATATATGCAAAAAGTTTGTCTGCATCGTACAGTTTGTGTTTATTCTTATTTATTGTATACACAGATTCAACATGATGAATAAAGCATTTATATGAAGGCATACCGGAAAACAACAAAAAAGTTTATGTAAGAAGTAGACTGTGCAAAACATCATTGCACTGGCCACAGGATGGTGAAACTTCATGTAAATACGTTGGCAAACTCAGTTCTCCCCTTTTACCATGCCAAAGAAAATTTTAGCTCCTTAATATAATACCTCTCTTGCTGTTCTCCAGAATGAGACTTCACCATTTTCTTCCCTCTAAAATTAATTTTGCTGTTAAGTGAAAGCTGTTTTCAACTGTCTGTTACTACTGAAGTACTGTATAGTAAAACTCATGGAATCCATTTGTATTTCCAGATTGGGTTTTTTGTACTTACATGTCCAGCTCTCTGTGAATCTGCATTGTTCCAGACCTTTTGCATGCTTACTTTGTATTTTGTTCTTCTTCTGAGTTTTATCTAATCTCTGAGAGACTGTTTGCACAGCAATCCAACCTCATTTTACCATTTCATAGGTTAACACTGCACATAATCATTAACTCTTTACTGGATTTTTAAACTGTATTTCAGCTACAGTTCTGTTTGGCAAAATCAGTCACACCTGCACAGTTTTAGAAATCCAGTTTAAAGTAGATATGAACTAATCAACAGAGCACCATTTTGTTGTACTTAGAAAATTTTATAAATACACAAGTATGAGATTGCTCACATGATAGAGCCTATTGAAAGGTGTCTATAGCTTTTAAGTGCTTTGTCGTTCACATAGCACATCTTTTGCTTAATTTGCTGGGGTTTTTAGCAACTCTCAATTTTTTAATATACTGTCATTTTCATAAACTTTAACTTGTGTAGAGTCAGACTGGTTCTTAACAAACTCCCTCCCCCGCAGATATAAAGTAAAGCAATTCACTTTGACAGTGGTCATGTGGTCATATGGTCACACCTGAAATAACAGTAAGAACTCTGACTTTATATATATTGGAAAACTTTTTCTTGGTTTAAAACCACTGTAAGCAATGACTTATGAAAGCCAGCAGTTTGGTCCATGTGTTAAAAGTGTGTCTTGCTGATCCATCTGTTTACTGGAATAAAGAATAAATTATTCAGCTCCATTCAAATGGGAATGCAAGTAAAATTAGACAAAGGAGGTTATCTTTCTTGTAAATGCCCCTTTAGATAAAATCATATTCTGTGCAATTAATTTTAAAATGTCTAATAACAAGGGGGTTTTACGATGACTAAGGCAAATGCTATAACTTATTTTTAAAAACATAATAAATTTTTTGTTCTATTACCTAGTCACAGTAATATTCAACTTAGCTTTCTTCATCCCAGTATCATTTGGCTGTATCATTTAGCTACAAAGTGAGATGTCATTCTGTGAAGAAGCATCAGAAATGGCAGAGCAGGTACATGATTAAATGCTCATCTACGTGTTTCTAAAAAGAGTATGGCCAGGGAAAAAAGGATCACAAGTAGGTTAATAATTAATACACGCAAATCAATCCAGAGCTCTTTCATAGGTAATATTACAGATATGTTATATACGATAGGCATAATCCTGCAAGTCTATTGTAGAAGCATTCGGCACACTTCTGGATTGGGTTCTTTCTCTTGTAAGAAGAAAGCAAGGCTTTAGTATCTTTTTTTTATAAGGTTTATCAATCTAACTGATACAAAATCCCCATTTATCCCATTTTGTTTTGGCCACCTAGATCTGCCTTTTGCCACAGGCCTGAAAACAAGGTTTTACAGACACTAGGTATGAAGAATCAAGCAGTAAGTTTCACTCCCTTACACCTCTTCCTGCTTTTTCAGTTCATCTGGCATTCCTGTCACAGGGAATGAGGTGTAAAATCACAATTTATTAATATAGCTATTATTTTCACATATATGGAATAACAATCTTATTCCTTCTGATCTCATTTTTCTAGTCAGGAAATGAGCCACAAAACAGATCTGCTGGGAGTTACATCACCAGTTACCTCAGCATGAAGAGCAGGGGGAATGTTTTAGCAACATTATAAGAAACAGAATAAAAATTGGAAAGGAATTTGCACATACATAATATTTTTAGTAGTCTTAGTTAATACTTTAAGGTTTATAGCAACAGTACCATTTTGTTTTGACAATTTACATTTTAATGAACCACTGACAGTAGCTGTCTTAGAATATTCTAATATTTTTCCATATGTACCTTAACAAAAACTTGGATAACACTTTTTGAAATGCTATGGATATGTAATCCATCCAGTAGCCAAAATGTTGGAGTTAATTTTTTTTTTTTTTAATTCTAACTATAAATCAGAATCATCTTACACCTTTTTAAGTTTATAAACTTAAAGTGAAAGCAAATTACGAAGTATAATGCATCAAATATGATATTGCAACCCTCTAAAGAATTGGTTTTTGTCTACGAATGAGTACCTGAAATACCACGGCTGATCTACAGGATTTATAAAACTGCTTATCATGCTATGAAACAAGTCAAAAGCATCTACTGAACCTGGATAAGTGTTTTGATTATCTAATATTTTCTTATTACAGTACTAAATGCAGATAGAAGGAAATCAAGGAAAACTTTGTATCTTTCATTGTTTACACTCTGATTCAGCAGATGAATGTATATGTGAAAAAGCACTGATTATAAGATGATTCAGGTCAGCGGTATTCATAAATATAAATAAACCCAACAATCTGTGCATTCCAGACACCAGAGTTGACAAAATGCATATGTGTTAAAATTTAAGAAAATATTCCTGTTAAGGTCTACAGAGTTTAAGGGTTATAAGTACAAAATATAAACTATAATTTCAAGATTAAATTTACGCTGAAGATTCTTTATACTGTGTCAATACATTTTAGAGATCTGCCTGATATTTTGGTTGTCTAAAAAGAGAGCAGCTAGCAGCTTTGGGACGTTTGTCATTTTTTCTGCATAACTTCTATATAAGTTATGCATGGATGTTTGGTGATTATACTCCCTGAGAACATGGCTTTCACAAGCTTCATTTTTAGAAAGAAAGAATCCAGGTTAAGGAAAATATTGGGTAAGAGAAAAAGCAAGCTACATGACAAGGGGAATTAATAAAAGTGGTTAAATAAATTCATTCACATTTTTTGCATTCTACTACATGTTCTGTACCATTGTATTTTCCTATTTCAAAATTGTCCTTTCTAAATGAAAACTAATTTCTAGACTAATAATGGAAATACTTTTTTTGGTTGATATATAATTCCCTTATTTCTGAGTCATGTACCTCTTCAAAAATCAGGACGTTGGCATCTAAACCACAATGTTACCGTTTGGTATTAAAAAGAAATATTCTCCAGCCATTCAATCAATTTCTCTCTCAATCATGATTTCTCTCATGATTTCACAAAATGTAAACACTTTTGAAACTAAAATGTATGTATCTTTTTTTGCTCTAAAGAAATCAAGGGCTGCCAAATCTACATGTAAAAAAAAAAAAAATACTCATATGTAAATAAGTTAGGGAAGTCCCAATAGTTGTGCATCATTCATAACTCAATGTGAATTTCACACTGAGCAGCATTTCACCATTGGAAAATGAAAATAAAAGTTTTGTTCATATCACTGCTTTGTTTGTATTTACTGTATAAAACCTTTAATTACTTTGTGGCCATTTTCTGAGTGTCTTTGGCCGATACCAGGCTACTGCACAGCATAGCTGATTTTTCAAATCAGTTGACCTTCAGGCTCCCCACTTCTATAACAGCAGTTAAATTCAATGAATACGGTGTGTGACAGTGCAATCTGTTCCAAACAGTGATTTCTAATAGCATGCAGAATTGTCATCCTAAAAGTTATTGGTATAACAAATTTTCATTTGCTTTACTTTTAAGAGGATGAGGCAACTGTACATACATAGAAAAGTATGATAAAAGTACACGAGTTGCAGGATACATGTTCAGAATAGGTAATCATACATTTGTATCTTTATTAGTTTAATTCCTTATACTCCTATAGGTTATGTATTTGAAAGTATTATAGTATGCAGATTAGATAATCAACTTAACCACACAAACCACAAAGAAACTAAGAAGTTCTCTTGTGAACGAGGATCTGTTCAGACATTTTGGGTCTTCAGCTTATTGTTTTCAGGTAATTGGACCTCAGTTATACAAATACAATGCTTTGACCAAATAAAAAGTCATTAATATTTATGAGCTGGTGCATAATCAGGATTGTTACAAAGAAAAAAGGGCCGAGCAATATATTTGTCAAACACCAAAAAATTAACCAAATTAATTATTTGACAAATGTTCAACTAGTGCTACTCTTCTACAGGAGTATTGTTGCATACTGATACGGGGAAGTGACAACCAAGTAAATAATGCTAAATAAAAGGCTTTCTTACACCTTTTCCAGAGGTTGCCTAAGAAATAGACATTATTAGAAATAGTATCAGTCCCACTGAATTTACCAAAAAACTCTGGAGAAGTTCCACAGGGCCAATAGTTTATGACTCACCTTTTAGAGCTTGGACTGTCCTGCTCCCAAGGCATTTTAAAGTTTTTTCTTTTAGTTTTGTCATACATTTCTTTAAGGACCACGCTCTCAAATGAGCTTTCTAAAGTATTTACACTATTGTACGTGTGTGTGCATGCACACCCACACACTGAGTACTTCTGAAAATAAATGTTCTAGCAGCCTAAAGAAAAACAAACAAAAAACCTCCTCAGTCTTTAACGTCCCTTGTTAAGGGTATTCTCTTCCCAGCCAGATTTCACAAGCATTTCCATTCCATCCTTCCCAGCACTCACAGTTTCCACAGTTACAAACACCATTGCCTAGAACAGAATGAAAAAAGGACAATTATCATAATTGAAATGTACTACATTAAAATGTGTTTTATGGGAAGTAAAAAGCCATGCTGAAGTAGTTGCATTGTTCCTTTATTGTTCCACTCACCTTTTTTTTTTTTTCATTTGGAAGGAAGCAATTACTGTACCATTGCATTAAGAAGCCACCCCAAACCTACACTTCCCAAAGCAGTAATAGCATTTGCTCAATAATTCCATCAGCAGAATTGCACATATTGTAATTATGCCACCACTATTTGTACCCAGCTGCTGAGGCTAAGTGTTCACACTGTACCTCCATGTACAAGAAAGAAAAAAAAAAATACTTTTCACTATTATGCTTGAAGAAAAAGACACGAAAAAAGTTACAAACAGAATAGCAATAAAAACATCACTTTGAACATTAAAAACTTTAAACCTCAGCTCTCAGAAGTGCTATACAAATATCTTAAACTCTCTATTAGATAAAAAAAAGTGTTGGTCCTATTTTGCAATGGCGAAACATTAAGTACTGAGACCCATATTTCCTTTTTATTTCCATATTTTTCATGACTCCTGGGTGCTCAGCTTGAGACATCTACAGCCTGGGTTTCCAATATGAGCTCCTCTTCTACTGACTTTATGAAGATAGGTGAATAGCTGCTGCAGCTGAAGATAAGGCTCCAGTTGCCTCTATACTGGCTAATAGGGTTAGCTGGAAGACACAATTTACTAGTGTCAGCCCTCCCACTCTCACTCTAATCTGTTTGCAGATTTCCTCCACATCTAATAATTGCTCAGCAAAGATTTTCTAAAATTAAGATTTGGATCAGGAAGCAGCCAGCGAGTTAATTTAGCAATTCCCATGTTGCTTCTTGTCACTAGATTTGTCATGAGGGTTTGCTGGCAGCCTGCCCATTTCTGTCTGCATCTGCCACCTGAACTCTCAGACAATGTTTAGGTGAAGCTGCTTTAATCACTAGCCATCACGCCATAAGAAAAAGTCAGGTATTTCAGCCTCCCACTGAGAATTGTCTGATTGCCAGGAAGCTCTGTTAGCCCACACAACTATGCCTCTCACCTACCAAAGATCATCAGGCAAGTGAATTTTGTCTATGACTTAAATGCATTATACACATAGAAAGTCCAGTAATAGAACAAAAGTTAAAGACATCTCATTATCACAGTGCTGACACTGTACGTCCTTTGCCAAAAAGCAGTAACTTGTAGTCTATTACAGTGAAAATTGTTGATGGATTTCATAGCTGGCTTACTTATTTAAATTCATACTCAGGCTTTCAACTGTTGTTTTGAAACCTCAAGTTGATTACCACGCTGCACAAAGAAACAATTATAGCAGGTTTGAATAACCAGCAAATGCACTTCCTCCATCAGTGGAGAAAGAAGAAGCTGGGCTTTGTCTAACATAATTCCCATCAACACAGTTTGTTTCTTAGAGCAATTAAGTGGTAGCCTGTACTGCACCTGTGCAAATGAGACCGTCGTGTTTGTCACAGTCTCTGTCATCACATTCACAGAAATCACCCGAAATGTACCATTCCTGTGGTGAGCAGATGCACTTTCCACAGTGGCAAGAACCTGAAATCACAAAAATTATTACTCACAGTCAAAGAACTCTGGCATTTTCAACTAGAAAATAACATCCCCAGACACACACGTGCACACATACACACGTGTGCATATGCACAAAATTGCTGCCTAAGAAGCTATTCCATAAAAGAAAATAATCAAGCTAAAAGCTTTTCGAAGATAAGGATTCTTTTGGGGTGAGCTAGAGTATGGTAGGATGTTACTACTAATGCTTTGATTGTGCTATTTCACTTAATCAGGACTCACATTTTGAAGCTTTCCTTTGGTTTCAGAGACCTACAATCAGGGCTACTCTTCCCAGTAGCTGCTCCTTTTTTTTTTTTTTTTTTTTTTTTTTTTTTGACTAGAAAAGCTCAAATTGTCCCTGGTCCACTGTTACTGAAGGCAATAAAATTGTACCCAGGAAGAAAATGGCCCTCCTCATCTAAAACCTTTAGGAATGAGTCCACAAAACACCAGAGGTGCTAAAGACTAACATTTAGACACCCAGAATCCTCATCACCACAAATGAAGCTGCTCCACCTCCCATAGAATTACTAAGTATTTGCTCTAGGTCAGGAAGAGCTTGTGCACATAACAGTGGTTCAGCATTTTGTTCATTCCTGCAGAGTACCCCAATACCCCTCGCTGGGATTAGCTGCTCTCCTCCTCCTAACGGATGCCAGGTCCCACCCCCACAGGCAGAGGGACTTCATCGTGACATTGGGGTGATGCCATAACCCACTGAGCATCAGAAACCTCCCTTTAAGGGAATACTCAGAGACATCCCTACCTTCAGGAGAAGCTTCATGGCTCTGAATCCTGGAAAGGGAGAGTTGCCCCCAGGTTATCATGTGTCAGGAAGCCTGTAGCCTGAGAAGGGTGTGAGAGAGGCTTTTCTGCAACTAGAAATGCCACTGGGAGATGGCAATCCCTCCTGGCTGATTCCAAGACCTGACTGAAGAGAGGTGGCTTTTACAGAGCCCCTCCTCAGCTGCCTGAGCCTGTATAGAGTTCAGACACTTAAATGCAAAGGTGGGACACTTAGTAACTGCTGAGCAAAAATCCTTTCTGTGGACCTAGCCTTAAGAACGGGTTACAGCACAAATTAACACAAAAATCTCAACCCAAATAAATGGTAAGAATACAGACATAGTTTTCAATTATAGGAGGCATGGTTTAAGGAAAAAAAAAAAAAAAAGGTCACTGAAGAAGCTGTCAATCTTAAGCAGAACATGTTTATAAATTAGTTAGATGCTGTTGAAAATCCCACCCTCTTGCAATATTTCCAGAATTATTCCAGTACAAAGTCACAAATGCGTTTAATGCAATATTAAAGAAAAATAAATAGAAGAAGGCTTGGTTATGTCAGAGTATAACCTAAAGAGAATTCATGGGTTACTTAACAAGGCCTGAGCCAAAGTGTATAAAATTATGCTCTTCCATCCTTATATTTCTTTCAGTGACCTCCGAATAAAATCCATAGTAAAAATCCAAATACATGATTTTGAAATAATTATCTGTCGATACCAACCAATTTTCCATAGGCTTTTCCCAAAAATACTAAAGTGTCTCTGATCACTGAAACTTAATTCTTTGAAACTTCAGAACATCCTCAGCAGAGTAGCTAATTCTTTTAATTAAAAATGTAAGTAATTTAGTGCTTATTGTAAGTTGACAAAAACTAACTCATTGCCTAATTTTAGAGAAACGCTGTTTTAACTTGTAACATATGGAATATGTGAATATATACAGGAAGAGCTAGTGATTGGAACATTTGGGGATGGGAGTATTTGGTTAAGCATCTCCTTTTTCCATGAGTTCTGAGTATCGCATACTGAGCCATGGGCACAGAAAATACTGACATTCCCTACAAAGATAAAAAATGCCACTGTATGAAGCGGCGATGGAGAATAACATACATATTGTATGGTTGCTGTGTAAGAGATGCATGAAGACATACTTGAGGGTAATATAAATCAAATGTCTCTGTTTATACAAACTACAAGGTACTGACAGCTGAAAATAATGATGAATAGTATGAGAATTTTAGTGAAATTAAAGCAGTTAATAAGAGCATGACATTGTAGGAAATCTGAAGTGATGCTGCATCAGCAAGCACTGATGCTGCTACTTACGGATGCCCACGATGTTTAAAACTATTTTGCAGAAAATACAGCAAATTTAACACCAAGTCAACAAAGGAAGATCAGGCTCCATAATGTAAAATCTGTTAGGGAGAATGAATGTATCAAGTCTTTTGCCTGAACAGAACATGCTGCTCTGGGAGGCTCCTCAGTTTAATTAAAAGGAGCCTAATGAGTTTCAGGGTGTTCCCTGGGATGCGGGCCAGATCCTCTCGGATGGGATTTGGCTCACTACCTAGCCCTAGTCCTGCACTGTTACAGTAACCATCTGCAGCCCTACATTTACTGCCAGGGAGGCAGCAGCGTGGTGGGTGTTGCTGTTTTCCTTGGGAAGAGCTTTTACTACAGGTGGCATAGTCAGCCAGCCAAGATTTTGAAAACAGCCTAGTAATGTGGATGTCCAACTTTGCTTATATTAACAGAGTGTAATTTTCTGAAAGTATTCAGCAGTTCTCTGCTGAAAACCAGGACTCCTTAGAATCTGTTAAATCCAACATACAGAAACTCAAGCTCCCTCAATCCATTATAGCTCTTGCATATCTTGGCTAGGTTTGCACCAAAGATGGAACAAACACCATTACTGCACAGGTTTAAAATACCATTTTACTTGACCAGTAATGGTTACTTATTGCTCAGTGTAATGAAACAGAAAGAACAGTTGGTCATTTTGGCCTCTGGATAGTGCCAGTCACAGTAGCTATGAACAACATTTTAAAGTATGGATACCCAGTAAGACATGATTTCCAGACACGTATTTAAGCATCAACGACAGATTTGCCTGAAGAAAATGCAAACAAAGAAGCAAAGCTAAGCATAGAAACAAAAGTTACAAGTAATTTGACTGAGCGTGATCCCCAACCTGCTCAAAAAAGAGTCAGGAGATAGTAGCCTCTTTGGATGTTCAATGGCCACACAATTCTGGAAGTTATCTTACATATTTCTCTGCTGAGACAAGCACTTACATATGACCAGCTGTTCACCCAATAAGGCTGCTATAGTATCTAATTCAACACAACTTTATTATATTGACTGTCCTCAAGGCAACCTTCAACACATTGGAAGCTTACATGTGCTTGGAGGCTAAAGAAGATTAAAAAAACATCTCACCAGCACTGCTGAATATGGATTTAGATTCAGGTTTGTGATTCCCATAGAAAATAAATGCTGTTCAACAGTGCACTGCCACATTAGAAAATCTGGGCCTTCAGAGCCCCCGTTCATGCAGCCAGGTTTAAAAGCACTACCTGCCTGAAGCTGGTTACAACCTAGAGCAACTGTAAGGCTGCTCCAGCCTACACCACTGACCAGATCCCAAACCACCCCCTGGGCAGTGTAACCAACAGATGGAAAAAAATTCCTCAATGTCTCTGCAAATTCCTGCCAGATTGTCTGCTCCCAAAGCCTCAAAGTAAATTGTTGCTTTGATATATGTGCTCAAAGCTGATAGTTCTCAGAGTAAGACTCACAGGCTGGAATAGATAGCTCTGAGCCATTCTTACAAAAAGGCAGCAAATAATACAAATATTTTAAAATTCAACATAACTTTTCATGTTTATATTTATTTAGAATCTTATATAGTGCATGTGGATTGATTTTAAGCATATTTCCTCACCTTCACAGTTTATATAAAAAATCACAGGGAGACCAAGACTAAGAGAAGAAAATTTAACTTCTGCAGTAAAAGAGTAACTCCATTTCTCCAGTAACTCAGCATCCTCTTACACATACACTAATTTAAAGAGAGCCACATCTTCTGGAAACAATTGAGAAACAGTGCCACTTCCTCATTTTCTATGACATTGTGATAGCTTGGGAGGGCGGTGGTGGAGGGTGGGAAACAAAATAAAATGGTTCAGTGGGGGAGAATTCTGATAAGTGCTAATACAGATGGAAGAAGGCCAGGCTGGAAACTCCATTTAAATTTCCTTTGCACTGAAATGAAAGTTACCACAGGGACAGCTGGAAATTTGCCTGATGTAGAAGGCTCCTAACTGTTTTTCCAGCTCACAGGTTTCTTCCCTGTCTCTGAAAGGCATATAGGAACAGAGGCAATGGCACGTCCAGTCTGGAGTGAGTGCATTCTAGCCTCCAGTCAGAAATTTGTCTATTCTCTTTCAGACATCTTAGATACAAAAATAAGCAGTTTGCAGTAATGGGGGAGCTAAAAAGCCCTCTTTCCAGTAATGCCATTTCCTAGCCTGAAAGACTGCAAGGTAAGAACCTCAGAGAACAATTTCAGAAAATTATCAAGATTCCTCCCTGTGGCAATTTTTTTATAGCTGGACTGAAGATGATGCAACCACCTGAATAAAAATTAGTCAATGAGAGAGTTTGCGGGATTCTGTTGTGGGAGCTGCAGACGTCTCCCTTTCCTGTGCTGCTGTGTTGGGGAGGGGAGTGATTAAGTTTACCAAATGTTCCTGTTAAACACTCTCCTCCACTTACTGTTGCCTGAGATACTACATTTGCCAACTTGCTCACTGCAGTGTTAGTGCAGGTAGTGCCCCTCAAACTGGATAGGGCACTAACGGTTAGTTTATAAGGTACAGCTGTTCAATGCAGACCCTCTGATAAAGGGTCTGCATGCAGGAAATTATATGCTATTAACAAATTTCATAGGAGAGTAACGCTGCTAAACATGTACGGCTGTGGTGGGTGTTTGACAAAATGGATGTAAGTGCATTACAGAGCCAAATATAACATCCTTTTAATAATAGGTGCCTCTGAAAGAAAGGGTTACTAAACAACAACCCTCTGCCATGCACATTAGTCTTCCAGAACATGATCGTTTTCCTCTGGCAGAGCACTGACACGGGGTAGCTCAGCTGCCAGTTCTTACCCTTCCCTGAGCATAATATGCCATCCGCTGACTCGCAGAGACTTCTGCTCTCCTCCTCCGTCATGTTGCACTTCCTTGAATGCTGGCACAACTTTCCAAACCACCCGTCCTGGCAAATGCATCGGCCGCACGAGCAGATACCATGACCTGTAACGATGCCAAGGTTGGTTATGAGCAAAACAAGCAGAAATCAGTGACTGCAGTCACAGCTGAGATCATCTTCAGACCTCTGCAGTGTGAAGTCCATGCTATGGGATAGACAGCCAGATAGATGGACAGCACAGCTTCCCAGCAGGGTGGCCTTCTTCAGTTCTGTCATTCCTGTGTTAAAGAGGGTGCCCTAGTGATGGGCAGAAAAGCACAGGCATGGCTCCCAACATCCAAAAAGCTTGCTCAGCACCAGATCGACTTTATGGGATGTTCCCTAATCCACAGTGTACTGAGGAGAGCCACAACCCCTTTCCTCCCATGTCTTTAATCCTGCAGCCCCGTGCTAAAGTCTCACCTCCATATCCCATACTATCACCTGAAGAGGCAGGCCCCAGTCCAGAGCTGAGAGGAGCACAAGCACAGCAGAACAGACAAGGGAAATAAAAGCTGCAATCTCCTCCAGCAGCCTGATACTGCTGGTTATCTGCTTCAGGGCATGGAGCTGCTGACATGCAAAGCCTGGACTCAACATATTCTGCAATTACTACAGATTAACTGATACAGTACAGGATGAAGATAATTCCTCTAGGGTGTCATGCAATTGTTAAAATTGGTTGTGCATACACCTAACTGGGAACCTGCAAAGAGTTCCTCTCATCACCTCAACAACATCCTGTCACCTGCATCTCTTTGCCAGTTATAGCTATCCCAGCTCAGCAGTTTAAAAGGTTTGTCACTTTCACTCCTGATACTGTAGTGAAATACTGAGGGAGGAGCAGGAAGGAGGAATAGACCAGAGCATTCTCCAGAGCACACGCTTTTATGATCCCAAGGCAAGACTTTGAAGAAGAATGGGCAGGCTACCATGGTGGGCTCTCTCCACAGGGACACATAGATTTCAATTCCCAGATCAAGAGAAGAGGCCTGAATGAGAGGGAAGAGGGACAGGCAGAAGAAGAAAACAGTAGCAAGGACATAGCTATCAAAAGATGATTAATAATAAGGGAGAAAAATAGGGGGAAATGAAAGGACAGAAAGAAAAGAGGAATGAGAAATAACATAAAAGAGAGGGCAAATAGAGAGGAATACACTTTGAAAAGTTAGGGAAAGAAGGCCAGGGAATGACAAGTGAAGGAAAGGTCAAAGAAACCCCAGAACATGGGTCAATGACAGAACCTAGAAGCTATAACTGATGTTTAAAAAAATGAGAAAAAAAAAATATGAAATAGAATTTGTGATAATTATTTGTACAAAGATTAATGAAAAAAGAAAATATGCTGAATAGTAAACTGAGTGGAAAATCAGACCAGGAAGAAGAGAAAAGTGATAACAAATGTAGACAAGATTACAAAACTGGAAAATAGAAAAAAGAAGAAATATCTCCCAGACAGAATTTCACTTTTCAACCTCGAATAATATTTCTGCAGCATAGAAGATCATTCATTAGCTAATCCGTTTACTGGGCTTAAAAGAAGGAAATTATACGTACCAGTGACTTTTGTCCTATCCTACCTGCTATGTAGGGCAAGGGAGTGGAAATGAGGGGACTGAGATAATTTGGGAGCATGGGCTGGGAAGAAGGGCACAAGCAGTAGTAGTTTTTTATAGCAAACCTGGTAGGTTGTTATAAATGGAATTCTTTAATGTTTTACTGATGGCCAAATACTTTACTAATTTAAATTAAAAACCACTGGAAGCTCCAAAGTCTTGGAGCTGCCATTTACAGTGATGTAAGAGTTCAGAGTAATTTTTGTACCCCAGACTGTGTATTGATCTTTGGTTTTTTTGTCTTGTTACCTGCAGAACTTTAAATGCTCAGTAACAGTGACACAGTCTTATTATGACACTATTCCTACCCACTTCTGTGAGTGACATTCAAGAATTACAAATTCACATACATGCATTTAACATATATCAAATATTACAAATTGATAGCTAGCAACAATAGAAGCTTGATGCTACCTTAGCTTCTGTGTTAGGCTGGGAAACAAGAACAACTATACCACAGATGTCCTGGGTTGAGTGAGCGGTGGAGTTTTTTCGGCAGCAGGGGAGGGGGCTATCGGGGTGGCCCCCTGTGAGAAGCTTCTCAAAGTTCCCCCAGATCCAAGTCAGCTCCACCTCTGTTTGGAAACTGAGCCAATCAGCTGCGCCTCTGTGATAATGTATTTAAGAAGGGACGTGGTGATGTGCAGGGGGACTGGTGAGGAGGAGTTGCTGCACAACTGCATGAACACCAAGGTCAGTGGAGGAACGGAGGGGGGAGGTGTGCCGGAGCAGAGACCCCCCTGTATCCTGTGGTGAGACGGCAGGGTGGCCCCCTCCTGCCACCCATGAAGATCTACGGTGGAACAGACATTGATTCATGGCCTGTGGCTTCCGCCTGGTGATCAAGGTGCTGGACCCAAAGAAGGCCGGGGTCTTGTGGGAAAAGGTAGCCCCACTACTGTAATTCAGCGCTGGGAGGATTGCAACATGCGGGGGAATCCCACGCTGGAGCAGCTCGGGAAGGGCTGCAGCCATGGGAGGGACTCCAGTTAGGGAAAGTTAGTGACCCACGATGGAGCAGTGTGGGGAACGCTGTGGCCAGTGGGAGGGACTCACATCGGAGAAAGTTTGTGGAGGACTGTCTCCTGTGAGAGGGGGACCACGATGGAGCAGGGGAAACAAGTTCCAGAAGCTCCCCCCACTGAAGATGGAATAAGCGGCAGCACTGACTGCACCCCCCATTCCCTGACCCTGCGCCACTGGGAGAGGAGGTAGAGATATCGGGAGCAGAACTAAGCCCGGGAAGAAGGGGGGAGTAGGGGGAAGGTGTTCTCAAGATCTGGCAATGCTTCTCACTGTCCTACTCTGTTACGTGTTGTTAGTGTCTGTAATAAATGTATGTTTTTCTTTTCTTCCCCTAACGAGTCTGCCTTTTGCTTGTGACCATAAAGGGGGATTTTTTCCCCATCCCAGCCCTATCTCGAACCCCAAGCCTAGCTCTCTGTCCCTTCTTATTGCTGGAAGAGAAGGGAGAGAGAGTGGCTGTGTGGTGGTTGGCTGCCGACCAGGCTCAAACCACGACAATAAACCAAAAAACAAGATGTAGAAAACAAGCATATGTACTTTCCTATATGCACCTTCCAGATAGATGGCATGCAGTTGTCTACATTAACTTACTATAGCTAAGCTTCTGTCAGAGCATTTTTACCTGCCTTATTTATTTGTAATTAGTAACATATAGATTAGATTTGAGAATAGCTGAACCACTGAAGAGGACAATATACAACTGGATGTCAGTGTTGGAAAATTATTTGTGGAGATACAAATACTTTTACTCATTTTAGCAGTGAGTAGTAAGAAATCCATGAGAAAATAATTTTGTATGTTTTTTCTTGTATAGTTATGATTTACAGAATGCAGATTGATCGTGTCTGTGAAGCCTTTACACAAGTCAAATAAAAAGGTAATGAATAATCTATACATTTACAGCAAACAGAGTTTACAGTTTACCACATGAAATTTTGACATGCATTTTTCTGAGAAGACCCTTCCTCTCTTCATTTATGACATATAAATCTACAAAACATAAAGGACTCTTCTTTCTCAAGTAATACATTTTACTGAAATAATATTTACTCCTAGCTGACACCAGAATGGGCAGCTGCAGCTCTTTGGATGCCTCATCCATCAGGGTGGCGAGTATGCAAGGGCTTAGCCCAGTGCTTGCTAACTCCTAGCTATCATCTGTCTGTGCTAGCCTGTGAAAAACTGCTTTACATGGTTTTGTTGTGAATATCCTCCTTGAAGAGGCTCTTTGCATTTGTCTGAAGATGTCCAAACCAGCTGACCAAAAGGAAGGGCCAAAACATTATTAGCCACAGCTTTCAGTTGAATGTAAAATTCAAATTACATTCAAAGTGTCCCAGTTTCATTCCAATGAATTCCAGACTCTCAAAATTATGAGCAAAAGCAGAAACAAAAAGCTGCTGCTCTTGCGCATAGGTCCTTTTAGATCAGAATGTAATTCGCTCCATAGAGGAGAATAAAATTCAAGAATACAGCAATCATAGAGCAAAGGGGAAAAGAAAAATCTCTATTTGAAGTCCAGCCCAACTGAATTGGCTAACATGATGAAATACTGATTTAACTATTCAGATTAAGCAGAAAGTGTTGGTCTATCATCAGTTCAGATTTAACATAAAATACTTAAAATCACAAACAAATTGCATATTGCAACGGCTCTGAGACTATAGGTCTTAATTCATAAAAAATCTGTGTTAATGAACATTTAAATATGTAACAGAATGTTTTAAACATTAACCTCCAATCAAGAAGAAAGACTGATGGGGGAGAGGTAAAGGAGAGAAAAAAATGATGTTAAAGAGACTGTCACTTTGTTTAGAATTATCAATAAAGCCAATAAGAATTATCAATAAAGCCACAAGATTTAAATGCAAATTATGAATTCAGCAACAAAGCAAGCTGTGACAGATTACTAGCAGAGGTCTGTTATAACCCAAATCAAACCAAATCAAACCAGACGTCAGGATGAATTATTTCTTACCATGCCTGGAAATAAAACTGTGTGGTTGTGGGAAAATTCAGTTTAGGATTACTCATGCAACTGTTGTTGGAGTTCCCAAAAAACCTGCCTGATAATTTTCTAATACAGAAGGCACCACTACTCATTGCAGAGGAAGCTGGTTCTTATCTATAGACTAACTGATTATAACCAGATGATCTTCACAAAGGGCAAACTGAGGCCAGCCCCAAACAAAATTTGGCACTTCAGGAGAACAGGTTTCTCAAACTAGTATAATATAACAAATATATAATAAAGTCATTATTAACTAAAAATGGAGGAAAAAAATCTTCAGCTATAAAAATACGAATTTGACTGTCATGTATGGAGGATTTATGTGATAAATCAACAACGTTGTTTCCACAGTAGGAGAGAAGTCCACCCAGCTCTAATGGTGAGAAGATACTATGAGTTAGGAATGAGAAGG